CCAAAAGGGGGGGGCCCGGGCCCCCAAAAAAAAAAAAAAAAAAAAAAAAAAAAAAAGTGGCAAGAGGCATTTGTGGCCTGCTGGCCTGAAGGAGGTGAGAGACCCTCGGCTCTGATGCCTCCCATGCATTCCCCTATCTTCACATCAGCCTCTCCAGGTAAGCGTTGTCATCCTCGCTCCAAAAGAGAGGCTCACGGTCGCCAGCTGCCAGCCAAACCAGGATCGCAGATGGCTGTGCCTCCAAAGCCTGTGCCTTTTTCTTCAAAACCCTGGCATTTCCAAGGCAGAGCTATGGGCCGGCGGTACATCTTGTCTGTGTCTGCATTCCCGGCTCTGCCCAGTGCGTGGCACCATAGTAGGACCTCAGAGGTACTTCTTGAGCTGAAAGTGTGGCCACAAGCACCAGGGGCAGTGTGGGTCTGTAGGGTCCCGAGACACGTTGGAGCTCAAAGGGTATCCTGTCTAAGGATTATAACTCTCTTACTTTGCAGAGGAGGAAATGGAGGCCCAGGGAGGGGAGGGGCATCTCCAAGGCCATGTAACCCATTTGTGGCCCTGAAGGGATTCCTTATGCCATGCTCCTGGCCATTAGGATCTGCCCTTGGGCTGCCTGTGGGGCGGGAGTGGGCAGTCCCAGCCCTGCCAAACTGTTTGCCCTCAGTCCTGTCCCCACCCCCATGTGTTCTAGAACTCTCTGCCAAAGGGAGAGGAAGTGCTTTGGAGGTGAGGAAGAGGATGGGGTAGAGGAGGATCTCAGAGGCAGGGAACTTGTGCTTGTGAGACCCCTCTCAACCCCTCCCCCAGGGGCTCTCCCCCCAGCCGTGGGCTGGGGTGCTGTTTACGGTGCTCCGATAACAGCTTCTCTCCTCCGAAGGGATAATTTCTCAGGCTCTGCCTGATGATTAGAGCTGGAATTTAAATGAAAAGCTGTGACCTTGTGGAAGTGCCCTAGTTATTCAGAGGCCTGATGAGGAAGTAGGCCTCTTGCTTCGCTCCCCGGAACCCTGGCAGGCGTGGGAGGAGGGGCTCCCGTCTGCCGGGGCCCAGAGGGGGCCTTGGTCCGCGGTTGCTGGAAGCAGCTGACAGCCTTTGCTCAAGCCTCCCTCTGCCTGCTCTTGATCTCTGCCCCTTGTTGTCTCCCTCCCCCAGTTTAAGTCATCTCAGTGCTCTCCTTGGAGAGGGGACCTGCTGATTTGTCCTGAGCCCTGCTATGTCTCCAGGGAGTCCCTCGTCCAGCCTGAGGGACACCGTTCTTCACCCGAAGCCAGGAGGCAGTGCCTGACGCACTGCCTTGTGTTTATGGACACGGAGGGTTTGTTCTCGAAGCTTGCTGCTGGGAGAGGGGATCTGACCCACAGAACTAGCGGCATCAGCCTCGCCCAGGAGCCCGTTAGAAAGGCAGGATCTCAGGCATCACCCCAGACCTGTGGAGTCAGAGCCTGCAAAGACCAAGAGCCCCAGGGGTCTGCCCATTAAAGCTGGAGACATTAAAGCTAAAATTCCCCGTCTCTTT